TCAGTATGTAACTTTAACTGGGTTAAATAGCTCATTCCTAAATCTGTTTTGAATTAGAGACTTATCAGATGATTTGGGTAGCATTGAAGCATGGAAATAGAGTAAGAATTTTATGTTATCAGTTTGTGTTTATTTTGTGATGTCCCATTTTTGCCATTCCGCAACTAGGAACTAATGAAATTAAGTAGTACTGTTTATCCATAATCCTGTTAGCCTTAATTTTATGTATCTATTATGGCTAAAAAGAGAGCAGATCATGGTATCTGAAATAAAATGTTTGTGAACTTGGGTGGTAGTGGATTTTGGGGGGGGGATTTACTTTGTGCAAAATGGCAGACAGGCTTTTATGCATGTCAGATGTTAGCTTTTTCAAGGTCTTATTATCTGGAGTTTCATTATTCTCTGTTGCTAGGCAGGAATGAAAACTCTATGAATAATGTATAGAGACACGTATCATCAGAATATCACAATGTGAGTAAAGGATGCCCATCTTCAGCAAAAGTCCTACAATCACATAACATATATGCCTATCTGCTTGGTTATTATGGTATGATAGAAAACAACAACTGTTTAAATTTTTAAGTTGAAACCATCATATCTGATAAATGGAAGAGTACATGGGGCCAAACATTGAAGGACATTGCTAAATCAGCACAAGATGTCTTGTTACTATACTTATGAATTCCCTCAGTGCTGACTGCCAGAGGGAATTATGGAAAATCTATTTAGAACAGGGTCTCTCTGTCCTTGTGAAGAGTAGTATTGAAATATGTGAAAAGGAGAGTGACAAGACTTACTTATGTTCTGCTCACTGATTTGTGACAGTCATCAAAATAGAAACTAGTTTAGGAGAACTGCAAATTCTGGGATATTTTTTGAAAAAAGTGGTGGTGCCTGAGGGGATGTTAGAGGCACATCTGTGGAACTGTCATTCCTTCTATGGCATAACTAATATTTATTTCATTTAGATTTTTTATATTTTATATTTATTTTATAGAAAGTTATGTCATTGATTTATTGATTTTATATATATGTATATATGTATTTTTTATTGATTTTGATTATAATAGTAAAATCTAATACAAACTAAACTTTGTGGTTTAAGACAAGAAAAGAGAATAGAAAGGAATAAAAAGTATAACAGAGAAGAAAAAGTAAGAATATAATAAAGAAAAAAGAATACATAAAGTGACTTCCAACTTTTATTATGTATAAACAGATTTAATAACTCTTCATCTCTTCTAAGATTACAAATGTTTATCTCTTCATATCCCATCTCTTATCCATAAACAAATCCATAAAACATATTTTCAGTTGGGGGTTAGAAGGTCCAAAAGGGTTGCCAGAATTAACATACTTTGTTTTAATTTTGATCAAATAAACCAACTTTATATTTATTTTACTGCTAATAGTCTTAATATGTAGTTCATTCAAATATTGTCACAGGACTTGATTTCTCTTCATTTCTTCTTTATCCCTTTGTCAGAATTCTCCAAAGCTTTAACAACCCAATAGGAAAATCCCATAGCAAAAATTATTCAGGTCACTCTCTTGGTTTATCATTTGTATTTTCCTTTTAAAATTTAAAACCTTATCCAGTTTATTTTATAAATTAAGTGAAACATCCTTTTGTAAGTCATTCTCTTGTCAGTTGTAAACCCACTTTCCATACCATTTTATCTTGTCGGATAAAATGTGTTGTACATCTGTTATTTGTTCAATAACATCTTTTGGACATAGACGGCATTACTGACATTGTTGATACTGTGGCTATTTTCTGATTCCCATTCTTCAAAATTCTCCTTCAGTTTTTTTATTGTTGCAATGTTTTGCAACTTTTTAAAGGCTTGTGATGAAAAAACTTAATTCCCTCTAGTGTCCACATTTTGAAATCATGAAATTACTTGTCCTCCTTTTGTCTTGTAAAACCAAAGCAATATATTTTTCATAAGAAGTTGTTTGTACTTTATCATTCCAAAATATACAAAAATTTCAGTATTCCAATTCTAGCTTGACCCCTAGTTTGTTTATAACTTTCTAAGATCAAAATCTTATTTAGTTTTTTTGCTGTTTATTTCAGATTCTTTAAATTCTTAAGTTTATGAATAAATTTTCTTTCGTTCAAGATTGAAAGCAGATTTACTCAGCATTTTCAAACTTGTATTCCAAAGGTCTGTAATTAGCTTAGAAGTAATTAATGAGCAATTTCTGAAAGTGATCAGAAAGGCTTGTGAACCTTGTGTCCTTTGAAAGTTCCACGTGGAAGTTCCCATCAATCAATTATATTTGAATGCTCCTGAAACTTGTGATTCACAGTTGAATTGATTCTATCATATTTGATTACAGTACTTTGGTAAATGAGAAGCTTTACTTTGAAGTGATATTAAAACATTAGATATTAAAACATGTAGAAAAGAAAAATGTTATTTTACCATATCTATTTTGTATTTATCTTTATAAATTTATTGGTCATTTTCATAAGTAATATATTTAGAACTGTATCTTTATGATATCAGCATGCTAACATCGGATGTTCTTGCTTTGACAACAGATGGAAATGCAGCCATTTTACTCTTTTTACTCTTAGTTGATCCTGGGAGGGGGAATGTGGATGAGAGTCCAGTTAGTCATAACAATAATAACTCAGCCATGGGAATCCAAGGTTATTGTGTCCAGAGTTGATAAAGATTTGGCGGGCTGGAAAGCTGGGGAGAAAGCCCATGCTTCAAGCTAATTGGGGAATGTGATTTATGACTGTTAATTTGAGGAGGGAATTGTGCTGTGTTACTTTGTGCCCAGAGGAGGGGAATTCAGTTTTTGGCTTTAACTATGTAGTGCGGATACTTTGTTTCTCGAATAAAAGATTCTTTAAGGTAAACAATGCCTCGAAGTTCTTTTGAAGAGTTTCATCTGTTGGAACCATGGCATATGACTTACTTGGACTTAATTATAAGATGTCAATTTAAATCACTATTCAAGAAGACTCTATTTAAAGTATTTTCCTGTTCATTTACATTGTGATATTTAACAATGTTATTTTTAAAACATACATGGATGAATAATTAGAATATTGTAAGAAAATAAAATGGGAGATTTTCTTTCCTTCTTTCTAGAGATTTTTTGCTAACAGAGTTGGTGTATTTAAAAGAATGGGTACATGTAATTTCCTATTCAGTGTCAGGTGACAGACATTGCCTATATTTTAGAAGTTTTGGGCAGACTTTTAATTTGCAGAAATCTATACTAACACCCATTTAGCTGAGCCTAGTATATAAGATACTAGAGCTGTGTGGAATTGTGAATTTTCTCCACAAAAGGCATTTCAGAGTGCAAAGGACCATGGGAATAGCTTCTTTTCTTAGGATTACATAATCATAGAAAAAGATGTAGCTCTGTTAATAAATGCAGAATGGTGGTACATTTGTGTCCCTTCATGCTCTAAAACACCTTTTTGGATTTGAATGCAAAATAAGGTATTTCAGATACGCATTTATGAATAAAGAATCTCATATCCAGATATTTGATTTGAGTGCCAGAACTGAACAGCACAAATGGACCCTCCTACACAAGAAGCTTTTGGAAATGGACACTTTGCCCTGATTTTCTCTTCAGCAGATCATCCAGAGATCTGTTGCTAAATCCAAATACATAATTCTGTCAAGCTGTCAACTGTATGATCTGACATCTATTAATATATAGATTCCTAACTAGTAAATGTGAACTATGGCTAATTTATAATAAAAGGGCTAATCTATTGTGGCTTTTTAGTAAGAGGTGGACATGGTGCTGGACAGCCTTCTGTTATTGAATGCTGAAGTTGCAGTTTTGAAAATGATAATTCATAATTATATTTGTTGACTCAGTGAAAACTAGCCCGTTGCCATGTGGGCATGAGATTTTAAGAAACAGGATATCTTCCTTCTGAATGTTCTTATTGATATGTGAGTATATTTATATTTGAGCATCTTATTAAACATTCCTCATGTGCCTGGAACAGTAGAACTTAAAGGTATTGCCTGTGATAGAAAGATACTGGAAATAATCTATACTACCTTAAACTGGCTCCATACTTTTTTTTATTACTGATTATCTTTACAGGAGGGAAGAGAAGACAGTAGCCCAGAGCTGTTTGTTTGAGCAACTATATTTGGGTTGCACTTATTTTAGTCCTAAACCTTGATATGGTGATATGTACAAAACTGGGTTCTTCTCAAAGCCCATATCTGCACAGGGATAGGGCTTTGAGAAGTATCCATTTCACGCGCTTTGTGTTTTGCAAAAATAACTAAATTATTTTAAATTGAGAATAAAACAGACCCATTTGGAAAAATTCTAAAATAAAAATTCTAATAGCATATTTTAAACTAGGTAAGCCATATCTAGGTAACATAAATATTTTAGGGAGGCTAAAGTAATTGGAATAGTGTAGCAAAGATATTGTCATTACATTGTTCCCAATGGGTATGGGAAACAATAACAATAGCAAATCATTTAGGAGGCATGCATATGATTAGAAAAATATACAGTAAAAAGGAAAAAAGAATATGCCAGTCTAGGATTCCAAGCAGTGCAATTCCACAATTATATTTGTGTGTGTGTGTGTGTGTGTGTGTGTGTGTGTGTGCACACGGGCCTGAATGTAATACAATATTTGAATAAGTCTTAGCTTGTGAAGATTTAGATTTCAGTAAACATATTCTTTGATAAATAGGATGATTTACTTTAGGTTTTGGAATTCAATTTTCTTTTCCTTAAGCATTCATAGGCGTATTATAATTTCTAGATCATAAGAGCAAAATTAAACTCACTATAATTCTTTTTCTTTTAAAACTCTCCGGCTAGTCTTATGCTTTGTTGATTTGGTGTAATCAAGTATCTCTGAGATATAATGGAGCATCACTGATTTATTCCAAATTGAGTATTTCACTGAAAAGCTAAGTATTACTTTATACACATATTTGCAATTTGCTGCATTATCCATGTCCCTTTTTCCACTTTAGGCAAAAGCTAATTATGAAAAAGATGAAAGACGCAGGGAACTGAAGCGATTGCGAGGGGAAGATACTTGGATGCTGAATGATGTGAACGAGCGTTTAGAAAAAATGAAAAAGGTAAGACTTGCAATGGGCAATATATTAATGACTCTGGGAAAGTCATGTTTTAAAAGATTGCTGATATTGCTGTTGCAATCATTTTTAATTTGTGAATAAGCAAAAGATTTGCCCACTTGTTTCCATTCTAGTTATGCTGAACAGGTAACAGTCATTTAAAAATAATATCAAAATATTGCTTAATTCAATTAAAAAGAGATGAAATATTACATGATGCGGAAATGACTGCATTGCTATTACCATCACCAAAATACTTCTCCAGCATGAGGATGGATAATCCATGGATTGGGTTTCCTGAAGTCCCTTCTAACCAATTAGATTAAGTCTGTGAGATAGCCACGCCTCTTTCTGGGTCATGTTTACCCAGTTCCGACTTAGTCTTTACCCAGACAAGGCGCATTGGTTCAGATCTCCAGATTCAGGTTGTAAATTTTCCATTTTCCCCATCCGTGGATTATCATTCCTTTCCCCTTTAGTTTACCTTTAAGTTTGCTGAATCCTTGTGCTTCTTGTTCCGTCTCCATTCCACTTCCCCCCCTCCCTATTGCTGCAAGCCTCAGCACGAGGCTTGAGTTTCTCTTTTAGGAGCCCTTTTCAGAAGCCACGGAGTTTTCTGCTTGCCTCAGCTGATCGGTGGGCCTCCGTGGAGACCCCGAACGACAGCTGATTGTCGGGGCTTCTTACCGGAGGATTGCGGATACCGGCGGATCGCCCCATGGCTGGCGGCCACTATTTTGGTCAGATCCGCTTCTCCTGCAAGCCTCAGCATGAGGCTTGTGTTATCTTTTGGGAGCTTTTTCAGAAGCCGCGTGGCTTTCTGTTTGCCTTAGCTGGTCGGCGGGCCTCCGTGGAGAGCCAAAGGACAGCTGATTGTCAGGGCTTCTTAACCGGAGAATTGGCTAGTGGCAGAGCATTGCATGGCTGGCGTCCGCCATTTTGTTTTTGAGGCCTGTGCTTCCAGACATTTGAGAGTGTACACGTGGTGGGCGGCCGCCATTTTTGTAGGCCCGCGCCTAGGCTACACGTGACTGCCAATCATCAGTTGAGTGTTTTTTTCCCTGTTTTCATGAAATTTCTCTGCTATTAAATTAGTGAACAAGTGAAGGGAGCTTTAATTTTGGGTGAATCATTTAGTTTAAGAGAAAGATTCTGATTACTTCTGGCCTCACCACGCGGCTGAGGCCGCCATTTTTTCAGGAGGGCTGAGTGTGTGAAAATAGTCACAATCACATCTGTTTCCACCTCAGCCTCACCCACTGACATTGCCTCTGGCAATATATTGTGACAGTAAAATTGGATTGCCTTGTCATTGGGAGCTTTTTATTTCACATACTGGTCTTACCAGTCTCTACAGCAGTGGTTCTCAACCTGTGGGTCGGGACCCCATTTGGGGTCGAACGACCATTTCACGGGGGTCACCAAACAAGGCTGTCCGCCATTTTTTCCCCTTTTCTTTGGCCACGCCCCTGGCACCCGGTGATGTATAAGTGGTTGGGGGTCACCACAACATGGGGAACTGTATTATGGGGTCGCAGCATTAGAAAGGTTGAGAACCACTGCTCTACAGTCTCACACTGGGCCTCAGCGCCTAACCTTTTTTTCCCAGACCCATTCTCAGACTTGCGCTGAAAGGTCTTAGGCCTAGCTCCCTTGCAAGGAGCCCATACTGGTTTTTCCAGTCCTTCCAGTGTTTCACATTGGACCGCTTTTCCCAGACTTGTAAGTTATTAGCGACGGTTGAATACATGGCCGATACCATGTTGCACGCCGCCAGATTTTCAGCCAGGGCGATCACAGCCAACGTTTCTACCAGGCAGATGCTTTGGCTGAAGCAATGGCAGGCGGATTTAAAATCCAAAGGATGCTTGACCACTGCCCCTTATTCTGGTGGAAAATTATTCGGGGATGTCCTGGAGCCCTATTTGATAGAGAACAAGGACAAGAAAAAGGTTCTTGCTCACCAGGCCAGACGATCAGACAGAAAGCCTGCCCCTTTCTATCGCAGACAGGGGTTCCAGGGCAACACCCAGGGTTCTGATTGGCCACAACCCACATGCTCTTTTCCTCCCAGATCGGACCGTCAAATGGACTGCTTCGTGCCAAAGCCCAGGCAACAACCACAGGCTAAGCGGCCCTTTCGGGGCGCGGGGGGCCATCCCTATCGGAGGAATAAGTGACTCTGGGGAAGGACCCCCCCACAGGCGGCCGGCTCTCCCTGTTCTCTCAGAACTGGGAGCACATTACCACCGACGCTGGGTCTTGACGCTGGGTCTTGTCCACCATCACCAATGGCCTGACCTTGGAGTTTCTTTCAAAACCGGCAAACCAGTTCATTCAGTGTCCAACTCCTTCAAACCCGTCAAAACGGATTCTCATGAAGGAGGCCATTTCCCATCTTATGGAAATAAATGCAATGGAACCAGTCCCTCCCGATCAGAGGTGACGAGGGTTTTACTCAATCCTCTTTATAGTTCCAAAGACCTCGGGAGGATGGAGGGCCATTCTGGATCTAAAATGGTTAAATTATTACCTGATATACAAAAAATTAAAGATGCAAATCCTGCAATCCATTTTGGCCAGCATACGAAGGAACGACCTCCTGATGTCCATCGATCTCATGGAGGCGTACCTACATAGTCCAATATTTCCACCACATCGCAGGTTTCTCAGATTCTGCTACAGATCTTATCACTATCAATACAGAGCGCTTCCGTTTGGCCTTTCATCTGCCCCGAGGTTCTGGCAGTTCAGCTCAGACTGGATTCCATTCGGATCCAGTGTTACCTGGATGATATCCTCATTCAGTCAGTGTCTGTCCCGGCTGCACGGTCGGAGGTGGGCCGTACCCTAGAGGTGCTACAGAACTACGGGTTTTCTGTGAATTTCCTCAAGAGCCAGCTGATCCCATCCATGCGGCTCCTTCATTTGGGAGCAGTGATAGATACAATACACTGCATGGTCTACCTATCGCCAGATCGCATAGCCAGTCTCAGGGCCTTGGTCCACCAGGACGGTTCCCCTCCTTACTCTCTCCCAGCTTTTAGGCAATATGATCTCCTGCATTGCCATCGTACCCTGGAAGCAGACTACACTCCAGAGCTCTTCAGTGGTTCCTTCTCCCCTTTCAGAGACGAAAGCTAACATCCTCCAACAGGCAGGTGAGGTTGACTCCCCTGGTATCGAAGTCACTCAGATGGTGGAGTTCTCGGGCCATTGCCAGGGCTCAGAATTCAGAGAACGGTCACGGATCGTTCTCACCACAGACACCAGTCTCTTCGGTTGGGGGGCACACCTCCAGTATCAGATAGCCCAGGGGAGATGGTCTAAAGAGGATTTGAAACACAATATAAATTGGCTGGAACTCAGGGCAATTCATCTGGCGTTGTGTCATTTCAGTCACAAGGTGAGAGGTCAGCATGTTCTTGTCCTCAACGGACAACATAGCAGCCAAAGCCCATGTGAATCGTCCAGGGGGAACCAGGTCAAGTTCTCTGATGACGGAAGCCAGACTGCTCTGTTCCTGGGCAGAGGCCAATCTAGCCTCAATCAAGGCGGATCACATCTCGGGGTCAATCAATCAGCAGGCAGATGCCCTCAGCAGGGTGACGGTGGATCATTCAGTGTGGCGTCTGGATCCAGAGCTGTTCCTGGAAATATCTCACAGAGTGGGGCATCCAGTTCTGGATTTGTTCACCTCAGCAGTGAACTCCCAACTCCCAAGATTTTTTTCCCGATTCCCGTCACCGGAGTTGGAGGGAGTAGATGCTCTGCCCATACCGTGGCCCCGGGGCCTTCTCTACGCTTTTCCTCCGTTCCCCCTTCTTCCGGCTGTCATCCGCAAGATTCTACAAGAGAAGGCGGAGGTGGTTCTCATAGCTCCTCATTGGCCAACGCATCCGTGGTTCGCCAATCTCATGAGTCTGTCAGTATCGGCACTGTGGAAGATACCTCCGGGCCTAGTAACACTCAGTCAAGGGGCGCTCCAGCACCCCGACCCTCAATGGCTACAGTTGACCGTATGGTGCTTGAGCGGAGATGTCTGACTGAGGAAGCTTACCCTCGGAGAGTCATTGATATGATTCAAGCGTCTAGACGTTCGTCAACAAATAGAGTTTATGACTCCACTTGGAGGAGTTTTCTATCTTGGATGTCAAGCATCAGGTCCAGTTGTCATCTCTCACTGTGCCTCAAGTTCTACAGTTTTTACTGGATGGAATAGATCACCATCAAGAGGCAGGTTGCGGCCTTGGCCACGGTACTCTCTTGTGACGACTCTTCCTCACTAGCGCATCATCCGATGGTCCATTCGTTCATCAAAGGGGCAATTAATACTAGACCTCCAACCATTCATCGGTACCCCTCTTGGGATCTTTCGAAGGTTTTACAGGCCCTTACCGGGTCGCCCTTCGAACCGCTTCAATCTTATGATCTCAATATTTTATCCATGAAAGTAGCCTTTCTGGTAGCAATGACTTCGGCCAGACGCATATCTGAACTGACGGCCCTCTCGGTCAGGGAGGATCTCTGCCTGTTTTGGCTTGATTGCATAATACTGCGACTAGATCCCACCTTCATTCCTAAGGTGAACTCCTTGTTTCATTGGTCCCAGGAGGTGGTGTTGCCGAGCTTCTGCCCTAGACCACCCCATGACTTGGAACGCAGCTGGGACACCTTGGATGTCCGCAGGGCACTCCGCATTTATCTTAAAAGGACTGCTACTTTCTGTAAGTCAGAGGCACTTTTCCTTTCCTTCAATCCTTCCTCTATGGGACTCAGGGTCTCATCTTCCACTATTGCCCAGTGGATTAAGGCTTGTATTGCCAGGGCATACCAATCACAGTCCTTAGCCATTCCTTCACGTATCACGGCCCATTCTACCTGTAGTGCGGCCACCTCTGCGGCCTAGGCCACTCATTGACGAAATCTGTCAGGCGGCGACCTGGTCATCCCCTTCCCCATTTATTCGTCACTATAGAATTGATAGGTTTGCTTCGGCAGATGCTACTTTTGGCCTTAGAGTATTACAGCGGGTTGTCGCATCTCCTGCACCACAGGCCCTGCCTGTTACCCCCCCCTAGGGACAGGCAGGCTTTGGTATGTCCTAATCTGTGGATTATCCATCCTCATGCTGGAGAAGGGGCGTTGTCTTACCTGAACGCCTTTTCTCAGTATGATGATGGATAATCCACTCCCGCCCTTTGATGATTGATGGGCACTGTGGCAGGAGTCTGGGTACCAATGCGTCTGACTTTGTCTGCTGTTTCGCCCTTGTCAGAACTGGGTAAACGTGACCCAGCAAGAGGCATGGCTATCTTGCAAGTCTAATTGGGTAGAAGGGACTTCAGGAAACCCAATCCGTGGATTATCCATCATCATGCTGAGAAAAGGCGTTCAGGTAAGACAACGCCCCTTTTCATTCATCATCTTTCTGTAATCGGGGAAAAAAAATCCAAGAGAACAAGCAAGTTTAAATACATGCTCTGTAAAATTTCAGGTTTTAACAATGAATTTTTAGAAAAAGCAAAATGGGGCAAGTGCTTCAAAATGTGATAATAGGAAGTACAAGCCAAATTCAGTCTAAGTCCCAGGATACGAATTTTCCGTTGGGTTAGCAAAAAATAAATAGTTTTTGAATTTAAAAACAAATTCTGGAACATCAAAGCAAATGGAAGAAATAATTGTGAAATGTTGAATTGATGTTCAGCATAGATAATGACAATGTAATTGTTACATATTATTAAGATGTACAAAATACCTCTTGCCACCAATAATTACAAATAATCCAAATAAGATTAGTTTAGAACTCAGTAAGCAAATATTAGCACTAAAGGATCAACACAATCCAATTGAAACAATGAGCTGAGGATATGTACGTAATGATTTAACAAAGGTATTAATCTGCAATAGTCATCTATTAGACCCCCCTCCTCTAAATCATTAATTAAATTAAACATATTTTAAAACCCTTTTTAAAAGTTATTAATTTTCTGTAGACATGAAAGGAAGAAGAATTGGCAAAGGTCTGGAACTGATAGTCACCTAGGAGTGAGAAAAAAGAGTGAGAATTAGAGGAATGTAAAAAATGAACAAAAGTATAGGTGGATATTGGGAAATTTGTGATCAGTCTCTCTTACTAGTTAATATCTAGTGAAGAGCCCTGCGCTATACTGACATATGAGAATAAGAATGAAAAGATTGGAATAGCCAAGGTAAACTGTTCTGGAATAAGTTCAGAGGAAGGAGAGAAAATTAGAAACTATTAAAATAATGTAGACATGGAACAACCAAGACATACAGCGATAGCATCTCCTCTGCAAGGGAGCCCAGGTTCCTATGAACATGAATCAAGTAGTGGCTAGGAGTGGCAGTTGTGGCTAGGTTAACCTTGGTCAGTTTCAGATTGTATTTCCAGTTGTTTCCATTCCTGCATCAGGAGGATTCACTTTCAGTCATTCGTGGCCTGATCACTTTCAGAATGGATTACTGCAATGCTATACTGTAATGCTAAAATACAATGAGGGATTGTGCTTGAAGAGCATCTGGAATCTATAACTGGTTCAAAATGCAGTGGTATGGGCAGTTATGTGAGTTCTTCAATCAGCACATGTTATACCACTGCTCTGTGAGCAGCAGTGATTGCTACTTTGCTTCTAGTTTCAATTCAAGGTGCTGGTAATGACTTATAAAGCCATACAGTATATGGGATGGGTCAGGTTTTTTGAGTGACTGCCTTTCGCTGAGGCAGGAGAAGCAGGAGAGGTGTTGTCTTTGGATCTAAAGGAACAATTGCCTCTTATAAGCTGCCAGGAGCACCTTACTAATGATAGCACAAATGCCCCAAGGGAGGCCATTTTCTATACTACCTAATGCTAGGTACTATAGAAAATGGCCTCCCTTGGGGCATTTGTGCTGTCATTATAGAACAGTGGTTCTCAACCTATGGGTCAGGACCCCATTTGGGGTCGAACAACCATTTCACGGGGGTCGCCAAACAACGCAGTCCACCATTTTTTCCCCTTTTCCTTAGCTGTGCTACTCCCTTTTATTCTATTGGCTTTTGAAAGCCAATAGAATAGACTCTTGAATAGAGTCTAATTTTATTGGCTTTCAAAAGCCAATAGGAATTGTCCAGGCTGTCTCTGCCCTGCTGAGCCCGCCAAAAGTCCCATTCTGCAAACGGTGCTGCACTAGTTGAGTAGTCCTCGACTTACGACCGGTTGAGTAATCCTCGACTTAGGACCGGTTGGGGGTCGCGGCATTAAAAAGGTTGAGAACCACTGTTATAGAAGCTCCACACAATGCACCCCCCAAAAATCTTCAAAACCTGTTTCATCACCCTGCTGTGGTCAGGAAACTGCAAGACTTGACCTTGACTGACTGGCACATGACTTCTGGAAGGGAATTGAAAGTCTGAGACTTTTGCAGCTTTGAAATTATATGAAGATCCCCCTTCCCTTTTATTCAGAAAGCAAGAGTGAAAAACAAGTAGCCTAGTTCAGAATGTGCTCTAAACTGCTAGACTTTCCTTAATATGAAGGAAAAATCAACATGTCAGTGAACTCCTCAAAATAATGATCTTCTGCATTGCCTCCACAGCTAGTAATGAGGAATATTTGCTTTGCAAACATACTTAAAGAATCCAGAGTTAAAAAAACAGTTCATCAATCCTTCCATATGAGACAAAGAAAAAGAATGGAAGGTAAAGAATGAGAATGGGGAAATAGTATAAAGAGAGCTCTCTATAAATTGTTGAATGTCATTCTCTAAAACTAGAGATAAATTCAAAAGCAGAAAGTGGGAGAAGCTAGAGGGATAGTGGAGGAAAGAATGAACAATGCCACTATAATAAAGAAAAATTCTCATAAGTAGTCATCTGAAAAAGAAGAGTGGAAAACTATCTTTATGCCTTTTCTTTATCACAAATGCTTCTGTGTTGCTTCAGTCATATGTTATATATATATATATATATAACATATATATAATTGTCTCCAATTGCTACATAACATTTCCCAATTCACTGGCTGCTGGTGCTGATAAGGAATGAAAAAATGGAGAAATGCAGCTGAAGGGTCCTGAGCAGGGAATGAAGGGTTACCTGAAAGAAAACCTGTTACAAGTAGTGAAAGTGATTATTCAGAGCTTTTCTTACAGCAACCCTCTTCCTCCCAAGGGCTCCAGATAACTGGTGAGTGTGATTCCTAGTTCTAGTGCACATTTGCAGCCAGGAGCAACCTGACCAAAGTAATTTTGATAATAAGAATAAACAGTTCAACTCTTTATTTGGCAGTGATAGGCTCTGCAGAAGTGGAAGAAATAGGATGAGATACATTTTGCCAAAGCGAAATTATTTTACCTCTCTTTTTATCCAAGGTCATTATCAAGCAATTATTTCTTCCTTCCCATTGCATTTCTTGATGTACTTGATTTGCTGTTCAGGGGAACATATAATCCCTTCATCTCCCAAATAACTGGTTCTGAAGGCGACACTTTACTGTATTAAATAAGCATTAAAACAATAGAGCTGAAGTTCAAATAACATAGGGCATAATGAGTTATAGTTACAAAGGGTATGACGGGAGCTTTTCATCCCATCATAATGGTATGGGTGATAACAATATATATTTTACAATGGCACAATTCTGGTGTAGTAGTTAAAATGGGGCAGAAGTATGAGCAGAACAGGAAAAATATGCAAAATCCAATATTGCAGCAGATCTCATGTCTAAATATAGTGAAGTTTGTCACTGGCTGCATAGTATAAAATTCTAACTGTTCATCTAAATGTAGAGGTCTTTTTCTGGTGGTGCCTTCAAGTCAGATTTGACTCTTGGTGACTGCCTGGACAAGTCCCTGCAGTTTTCTTAGCAAGATTTCAGAAATGGCTTGCCACTGCCTGCTTCCTAGGGCTGAGAGAGAGAGAGAGGGACTGGCCCAAGATCAGCCAAATGGCTTTGTGCCTAGGGTGGGACTAGAGCTCGTGCTCTTCCAGTTTCTAGCTTGATGCTTTAACCATTGCGTCAGGTCCCAACTGAGGGTGCTCGCACTCCCTGGGGGTGCAAGATGATATTCCAGGGGGTGCGAAAACTTGGGTTTTGAAAATTATAGTCTATATGAATAATTCGTTGCCATTATTTCAAACTTTTGTAAGGGGTGTGAGAATATATCAGAAGCGTTCTAGGGGTGTGGGGTATAGAAAAGATTGGGAGCCACTGCACTACCTAATCTGGTTCCTAATGGGAGCCTAAACTGGTAAACTGTCTGGAGAGGTTGTTTGATAGTTCAGCTTTTTTTTTTTATTGAAAATTTTTAAAAGTTTTTACAAATAAGGAGAAAAAAAATAAAAAAACAAAAAACAACCCTACCCAACCACCCCAACCCTCCCAGTCCATCCCCCCCACCTTCCCAGAGCTGAATATAGGCTTGATTAAAATTTCTAAAAATCTTAAAAAAAATTAAAAAAATATAAACCATTAATATATCTAAATACATTACCTAAGCTTATAAGATAATTAACAATAATATATATGTAAAAACAAAACAAAACATAGATATTAAAAAAAAGAGAAAAAAAATTACTTAAAAAGAAAGAGAATAAAAGAGAAAAGAAAGAAGAAAAGATATATATATATATATAAAAAGAAGTAAAATAAGATGAGATAAAAATAAAAAATATAAGGAAAGAGAAGAGAAAAAAATACAATCTATAAAATATTAAAATTTATATATAGGTTATTGAAAAACTAAGTAATATTTTTTTATATCCAACTTATGTTGTATAAAATCTATCCATTTTTCCCATACCGCAAAAAACTTCTCTTGCGATTGATCCTTTAAAAAAGCCGAAATCTTTGCCATTTCCGCCAAATAAGAAACTTTAAAAAACCATTCTTGCAAGGTAGGCAAAGATTCCTTCTTCCAGTATTGCCCTACTAACAACCTTGCGGCTGTGATTAAATTTAACATCAGTATAACCTCCTTAACATCACAATCAGTAACAATACCCAACAAAAACAATTGTGGGGTAAATTTTACCCTCCTTCTAAAAATTCTTTGAATATTCCACCATATCTTAATCCAAAAAGCTTTTATATTTTTACACGACCACCAAATATGATAATAAGTAGCATCCAAACAACCACATCTCCAACATTTAGGCTGTAAGTCAGGATACATACGAGACATTTTTTGTGGATCAAGGTGCCATCTATAAAACATTTTGTAAAAATTCTCCCTTAAGTTCTGGGCTTGTGTAAATTTAACATTCCTCACCCAGATGGTTTCCCAAGTGTCTAGTAGAACTGGTTCACCAAAATTTTGTGCCCATTTAATCATACATTCTTTAATTAATTCTGGTTCTGAATCCAGTTCTACTAGCACCCCATAGATTCTCTTAATATGAGTTCGTCTTTGGTCTTTTACTTGTTTAAAAAGATTTTCATCTTCTCTAAGCAAACCCATATTACGATCTATCTTCCATCTATCCACTATTTGTCTATACTGAAACCATGAATATGTAATATTTTCATGTGCTAAATCTTCCAAAGATTTTAAGTGCCAATTTTTACCATCCCATCTGAGTAATTGTGCATAAGAAACACTATCCATCTTAACTCCTCTCCTTATCCCCTCTATCGCATGCCAAGGTATAGCCCATAATGGTATTTTAAAATCACTTTTATAATATTTCCTCCAAACCCGAAGTAAAGAAATCCTTATAATATGGGATTTAAAAACCCGGTCAACTTTTTTATTAAAAATTAAATAGGCATGCCATCCAAAAAGTAAATCCCAACCTTCCAAGTGGAGTATTTCTACATTTGTTAAATTAACCCAGTCACTAAGTAATGTTAAAGCCACAGCATCATAATACAATTTCAAATTCGGTACCTTGAGTCCACCTCTCTCACGAATATCTTGCATAATTTTAAGCTTTACTCTTGGTTTTTTCCCTGCCCAAATAAATTTATTGATACCTTTCTGCCATTCATTTAAGTTAACCTCATTCTTTAGGATAGGTATCATTTGAAATAAAAAGAGAAACTTTGGCAGGACATTCATTTTAATCACCGCAATTCTTCCCATAAGGGATAATTGCAACTTCTCCCAATTTTTCAAGTCTCTTTGTACCCTGACCCACAACCTTTCATAATTATTTTTATACAACTTTGCGTTAGAAACAGATAAAGTGACCCCCAAATATTTTATCTTATCAACAACTTCAAAATCTGTCAAGTTAACCAAAGTCTGCTTATCCAAATTAGTCATATTTTTGGGTAATATTTTAGTCTTATTATTATTAATTTTAAATCCCGAAACCCGTCCATATTGGTAAATCAATTGTAACAACTCTACTACAGAATAGGTAGGTTGAGACAAGGTAACCACCAAGTCATCTGCAAAAGCTCTTAGTTTATATTCTTTTTTATTAACTTCTATTCCTTTTATTTCCTGGGATTCTCGAACTTTAATCAGCAGAATTTCCAAAGTTAAAACAAACAGTAGTGGTGACAATGGACATCCCTGTCTTGTCCCTTTTTCTATTGTGAAAACCTCTGACAAGCCCCCGTTAACTATAAGTTGTGCCGTTTGTTTTTGATATATAGCACCAAGAGCTTGTAAATTTTTTTCTCCAAAATTCATATCCTCAATTAATCTTAACATAAACTGCCAATTCAATTGGTCAAAGGCTTTTTCAGCATCTAAAAATATAAGTCCTGCGGAAACTTGGTTATTCTTATCTAAGTATTCTAGTAAGTTAATAATTTGTCTAACGTTATTCTTCATATACCTGCCAGTTATAAAACCCGTTTGGTCCTCATGTATAAGCTGGTGGAAAACCCTCATGAGCCTATTGGCTAAGATTTTTGCAAAAATCTTATAATCTACATTTAAAAGAGATATAGGTCTATAATTCTTTGGTAAAGTAAGATCTTGATCTTCTTTTGGAATTAAAGATATGAAAGCTCTGCCCCATGACGGAGGAATCTCTAAACCCTGTAATATATTATTAAAAAGCTCACATAAAGGTTGAATCATCTCTTCTAACAAAGTTTTGTAATAAATAGATGTCAAGCCATCCGTACCCGGTGCTTTACCTAATTTTAATTCCTTAATCACTGTCACAATTTCCTCAGTGGTAATTAAAACATTAATTTCTTGTTTCTGATCTTCTGTTAATTTGGGAAAGTTGGCTTCACTTAAATAATTATTTATATCTAAAATTTGTACATTAGTACTCTTATATAATTTTTGATAATAATCTAAAAAAGATTTCTTGATCAACTCCTTCTGGTACACCAATTTACCTTTATAATTTATTTTATCTATAATTCTCTGTCTCTGTTTCTTTCTCAATTGATAAGCCAACCATCTCGATAGTTCAGCTTTTAATATCATTAATATGCTGAAGATACCCAATTGGATATGTTATGTTGAGTCATGAAGGACATGGAATTGGCATCCTTTCCTGATGCTTAGAGGTTGAAACAGGTATAGGTGCTGATGCCACCAAACTTACTCCTTAATGGGCAAGTACTATCTTTCAGAGACTAGGGGAACTTGGAGAACATTCTGGGCTTACAGGTCATCCTGGATCAGCAGGTAGAAATCATGGCTAGCAGGGCCTATTCCCAGCTTCACTTGGTCTACTTGGGACAGGGGTAGGCAACCTTGGCTCTTTTATGACTTGTGGACTTCAATTCCCAGAATTCCTGAGCCAGCATGTTCTTCTCACCACCCAGTTGGACTACTGTAATGAGGCCTACTTGGGGCTACCCCTAAAGAGTATTTGCAAAGTACAGTTGGTCCAGATCAGGGGTAGGCAACCTTGGCTCTTTTATGACTCATGGACTTCAACTCCCAGAGTTCCTGAGTCAGCTGACTCAGGAATTCTGGGAGTTGAAGTCCATGAGTCATAAAAGAGCCAAGGTTGCCTACCCCTGGTCCAGATGCATCAGCCTGTGTACTTTCTGTCTCCTGGTGTTTGGAGCATATAACACAGTGATGGAGTATAAAATATGGGGTAAATCAATACTCAGCCAAATCAGATTATCATTTAGTTTCACATACAGAAAAGGTATCTACAGTAATAAAGCTTGTGGAATCTCTTTGGCTATTAGTCAGTACATTGAATCAACGATGATGATGTCAAACAAAGAGACATGTTGCTTAGTCAAATAAAATTTCACTTGGTTGGCAATAATAATAATTGTAGTTTTGTAAAATCAACTTTGTTATTGTAGAATACATCTTTTATATGTATGTTTCTAACGCATGCTAAGTATCTTTCTATCAAGAAGCTTTGGGTGTGATATATAATAAAATAAATTATTAAGCAAGGTATCCTGGGATGTTTTTAGCAGGGTGGTGATTTAAAAATGATAAAATACTGTGTAATTTCCTAATTCTAGGTATGTGGCTTGTCAGATTGATACAAATGTTGCTTTTTTTAAGGAACATTCTGTTACAGAGAAGAAGAAGCATTCAAAAAAACATAAAAGGGAAAAGAAGAAGAAAACAACTAAAAGAGAAAAAAAAGATGATTTATCTGATACTAGCTCTGTAAGTTTTAAAATCCAATAGCTGAGAGAAAGCTATTTGTTACCTATATTAGTGATTATACTTAGGCCTTAGTTTTATAAATAGCGTGGAATTTAATTTATAATTGCTGGTACACTTTAATATCAGTCTATTTTTTAAAAACACGGTAAGCATGCAAAATAGATCACTAGGTCAGAAATGAACATTCATTTTGAAGCATACATCTGATGTAATATGGAAGAAACAGAAAGCAAACATTGTAGAAAGAGCCAGATTTCAGTTGTTGGGTCTTTTCTCATAATGCTATATATATGCAGCATGGATAACAATGCATCATTAGACACAACATACACAATATTTGCAAGCTTGAAAAGTTAAATATGTACTTGTTTGTCTCATTATAGCTTCTACTGATGCTGTTTATTGTAATACTTGACAGCAATGTTATTTGGACTCTATTATTACTGGATATGCTATGCACAATTTTACAGATTTAGCTTAAGATTCTCCAATGGTAGAAAGTCTCTCAGCCTTCTATAATATAGTAACCTCCGGATAATATTGGATTTCAAGTCCCTGATGCTCAGTTGGATTAGTCAGTTTGATATAAAGCAGCGTTTTATATCTGGTGGCTGCATGCTTTTTCTTAAACTATAGATCTGCTTATGATCAAGGTCGATTATTTCACTTGAAGCAAATGTTGTTAACAATTCTGTTGTCTGCATTTTGTTTGGATTTTTCTTCTAATTGTGTTATTGTGCATAGGCTATATTGTTGCTTCTTCTCATCATTTCCACAAGTTCTGTCAATCATATGACTTCCAGCTGGGAAAATGTGTTGGCTTTATTTTAGCATTTTAAATGGTCATTTATAACAGGAAGACTGCAAAAGCAATTTCTTTGAAAAGTCTTTTGAGAGGTAACAACCTGTCCTTTTATGTAGCGCTGTATTATTAATAATAGGACACAGGTGAACAAATTGGTAGCCTATTTTCAGTGGCAAAAAGTGACTGTAATAAATATCAGCTGTACTTACTTTTTATCTGATTGCCAAGTCTTATAAATACATTTAAAGAGCTGCAGTTGCCAATAAGACCATTATAATGTTATAATAGTCTCTTTATTCTCTCATTCTGGGTAGCTAAGCTAACTCTTATAGAAAAGAAAATAGTTTTTAAAATGACTTTTGCATTGTTTCATTGAGCTTTAAAGGTCTCTACAATCCTCTAAAACACATTTGATTATTTGAAAATATGTTCTTAGGGTTCTTCAGAAGAATGGGTAGAAGTGCCTGTTGCACAGTCTTCTATCACTGAGCAGTCTTGGAAGCTAAAGAAGGAAGAACAATTTGAAGAAGAAACAGAAAAAAATCCTACATCAATTCAGGTGAGCATCTAGGACAATCTTTTTGTAGATGGGAATTGTACTTAACATTTGAGGAAAGAAGTCTACAATCAATAGGGAAATGTCAAACGTTGCAGTGTCAGGATTTCTTGTTTTTCCTTGGATTGGGAAGATTTTTTTAAAGTAACGTTAATCCTATTTTAAGATTTATCATTCAACTTTTGTGATCATGCCTCAAGAGATTCAGTTGGCTTCATTCCTTTAGAGATTTTGGAAAGCTTTAAAAATGTGGCTCTTTTCCTGAGTACAGATGTTGATAGGTTAATTTCATCTGTGATACTGATTATTCCTCTGCACTTGGTTGTCACTATGTATATGTATTACTATTGATTGTAGTTGTGCTTTTAACTTTATGTTAGCTTGTTGCCATTGTGATCAAGTGATCATATACATTGATTAAAATAAACAAATCAGTAAGAGACAGGAAATTATTTCTATGTTTTTTTCCCCACAATTGTGGCTGAAAGTTCATCATGATTGCAAACAAAAATTACCAGTCCAGGGAAGGAAAGTTTAAGACTTCCCTGGGGTGGTGATTTTTTTAAAAAATGTACAATGCAGATCCTAGTGTTCTTAGGATAGTTGATAGTTTTCCATCAACTACTAAGCTCTATTTTTTTAAAAGTAGAAAATGGTTCACAGTATTCTGGACATTGGTATATTCTGGAGAAAAAAAAGTGCTGCAGGAAACACCAGGAAATTCTCTCTCTCTCTCTCTCTGTCTCTGTCTCTCTCTCTCTCTCTCTCTCCCTCCCTCCCTCCCTGATTTTTTTCCTAAAGAAAGTAAAACAGTTAAATCTGAAATGTGCATTAACTCTGGCGGTATGAGGATAGCATTATGCAAAAATTCTTTTCAGTCTTGAAAAGGGCAGAGAGCAAACCTTTTACATTAAACAATAGGGCAAGTGTTTTGAGGATGAGGATTCTACCACTTGAGCTTCTTCCGCAGTGGCAGAAGCATTTGAGAAAACCTTCAGCAATTCAGTGTAAAGGCGGATTTTTAAAAACTATATTTTATTTCTGGCTCCATTTCAGGAATTATTTGGGGTTAGTAACACATTTTAAAATATCAGTAAAATCAATTAATGTAAGCCTACATGGATATGCTTATCAACCATTTCTTTATTAGCTTATCCCTTTAAAAAGTATTATTCATAAAACATTTCTACAGGGCTTTTGGGAAAATTTAAGGCTGACTCTTTTCCTGTAAAAGAAATATTTTTCACAATTGCTGGGTCAGTGCTGAGTCCTGTGTGTTTGACTGCCCTTGCAGGATTATCAAAGGCAAGTGTACATGTATTGCTTAGCCAAAAGTGTAAATAGGTTGAGTTCATTTCAAAGCATTGCATGAATTGCTGATATTATAATGCTTTAATGTTTATTGTGGATTGCAGTTATTTTAATTATTTTAATACTTTGGGGAATAGGAATTATTAATTATAATAAAGGGAGCAGATCTGTTAATTATTCTTTTCCTCTGGGTCATGAATATTTTCTGTGTTTATTTTGTATGGCAGATCTCCATTTCATACTATTTTTATATCCTGTGGTTCTGGAAAACTGTTTTTCTTGAAAGGCTTTCAACATCGCCCATGACATGCAAATACTATTCAGAGTATCCAAACTGGGCCACAAACAAATATGTACATTTATTGAATTCAGCTTAATGGTTCATCTGACACTTGGACAGCTTGAGCACTTAACTGTTGTAAGAAGTATATAATGCACCTGAGAGAGAGAAGTGGGATTTACTTCTCTTCTCTATCCAGCAGAAGAACACCTGACTATTCTGGCAAATTGTTGCCAGCTCTCTCTCTGATTACCAAGAACTCCCTCTCTGCTGTATTTCTAACAGAGATTGGGAAAATCATTTTTTGTCAATCTTTCAGGCTTCAATAATTTCGACCGAGCTTGGGTCACAATTGCCTCTTGCAATTCCTATATGGCAACCCGTGACTCATGCTGAAATCGCTGAGCTTATCTCAGAACTTAAGTCAGGCAAAGCCCCTGGCCCCGATGCTATACCCCCCATTTTGCTAAAATCTAATCCCGAGTGGTGGATTCCTCTTTTGGCAACACTCTTCACCCATATTAATTTCTCTGGTAGGATTCCTATCTCTTGGAGTCTAGCAATTATTATTCTAGTTTTTAAACGAGGAAACAGGAACAACCCTGCCATTATCGCCCTATTAGCCTGCTTTTCATCATTGGGAAATAGTATGCTAAATATCTTCAACTTAAACTCCTCACTTGGGTTGAGGAGTCTAACATTATTGGTGCAGAGCAGATTGGGTTTAAAGCGGGCTGTGCCACATTGGACCACTGTTTTGTCCTAGCACACCTGGTTGATAAATATGCTATTACACCAGGTGGCAAACTCTTTACTGCTTTTATCGATTTAAAGGCAGCGTTTGACTCAGTCCCTAGGGAACTGTTGTGGTCAAAATTGCACAAAAGTTCTATTGACAGACGTCTTTTGTTCTTAATCAGATCTTTGTATAATCAGGCCTCTAGCCAGGTTAGTTGCAGCTTGCAGGGAGAACTTTCAAATCCTATTCCGATTGAGAGCGGAGTTAGGCAGGGTTGTGTCCTGGCCCCTCTTCTGTTTAATCTATTCTTATCTGACCTGGCCTCTTACATTGAACGCATTGAGTCCCATGCCCCAAAGTTGTTAAATACGAAGATTCCGCTTCTTCTTTATGCTGACGATGTGGTCCTTCTATCACAATCAAGGCTCGGTCTAAAAAGATTACTTTCTGCATTTGGGTCCTACTGTGCTGAGAACCATTTGTCTATTAATTATGACAAATCCAAAGTATTGGTGTTCTCTAGAGCCCGGAAATCATACAACTGGGCTATCAATGGTAATATTGTTAGGCAGGTTTTCCATTTTAAGTATTTAGGTATTCAATTTCAGAATACTGGTGCTTGGACTAATCATCGAACCCAGGTGCTGAATTCGGCCTCCTGTAGCCATCAGCAGATTATAAGATTTTTTTTTACCCAAGGAGGCCAGTTTATTCCTTCTGCTCTGCGTATATATCAAGCCAAAACCCTGGCCCAAACTCTTTATGGAATTCCCATATGGATACGAGGCTTCAAGGATTGTTTTGAAAGTACCCAGGCTGTTTTTCTTAGGAAACTTCTGGGTCTTCCTCCCTGTGTTGGATTTGCTTCGATGTACCTGGAACTGGGCATTCGTTCAGTTGAATGCATGGCGTGGATTAACACCTTCAAATGGTGGTTTCGGGTGCTCTTTTCGGCAGCCCCTGGTAGCTACCTCTCCCTGGTGTTTGCTGACTCTCATACTTCTCATTGGGAGAGGGAGCTGACTAAGAAACTCCACTTAATAGGTTTTACGGGGAATGCTCTGGGAGATTATGGTCTCAAGGATGCCCAGTTTAGGGTAGTCCAACGGCTTGTGGACATAGATTTGCAATACTTAAGAGCCAGATCCAACAAAACCTGCTCCTCTTTGATCTTTAGCCATTTTAATAATTATGGATTGAGGATGGCCTCTTATTTCTATACTTTAACCATCCCCAAATATAGAAGAGTCTTTTCCCTAGCCTGTTTCAATGTCTTGCCCTCAGCACTACTTGACGGGCGATTCAAGAGGCTCCCGTTTAGTGAGCGATTATGCCCCTGTGATAAGGCTGAAGTTGAAACTGTGGAGCATGTCTTATTATACTGTTCTATGTATAATACAGCCAGAACTAAACTATTGCCTCTCCTTGGAATTGATCCCTCTGGTTCTAATGTTAGTAATTTGGTTTTATATTGTCTAGGGGATGGCTCCTCCTATATTACTTCTCAGGTTTCTAAATTTCTTTTAAGAGCTGTAACTTAGAGGAGAACGTTGTAATTCCCCTTAGCCAAGGCTTCTGGTGTTAATTGTTTGTGATTATATTTTTCTTGTGTTTTCTTTTGTTGCACTTGTATTTTGATCTATGACCACAAAAAAATTATTATTAATATAATGCACCTGACCTATGATGCCTGATTGAATAAAACAGATAAATGAAATGGTGCGCATTGCGTACCACCAGCATCTTGTAAAATTGTCAAAATATGAGACTCCCAATTTTCATATACTTTTGCCTATATTCCTATTCTAACATGATGTATTGTCATTACTTAAAGGGCATTCTTCTAAACATATGTATGGGATTAAAAAAAATGATGGATAGGCTAGGCCAGGGGTAGGCAACCTTGGCTCTTTTATGACTGGCAGACTTCAACTCCCAGAATTCCTGAGCCAGCCATGCTGAGGGGAAAGGGAGAGGTTTCCAAGCTGAGCCATGCTGGCTCAGGAATTCTGGGAGTTGAAGTGCACGAGTCATAAAAGAGCCAAGGTTGCCTACCCCTGGGCTAGGCTTATGAATTTCTTTTAAGATTGTGATTTTTTTTTAAATTTCTTCAAAATACCTATCAACTTTCTTTATTCCACAGCCCGTAATTTCATTTTTTCTGTCACTTATCTCAAAATAATCTGTTGCTGAATTTGGATCTCTTTTAATAAGAAAAAGAGATGTTTCTTTTTTTTTTTTTGTAGAGGGATGAATGGATGACTTTAGATTTTATGTCTGTAAAAACACTGTCTTCAGCATCACTGAAAGCTGAAAAGGAGAAAGAAAAAATATTGAAGCAACAGAAGGCCCAGGAAAATGAACAGGTAGGTTTGGTTACTAACTGATTAAAAGATTGCAAAGAACTAGCCAACAGCCAAAATGTGTATTTCTTCAGTTATCAGATATCAATTTGTGGATTTGATTCTCTTGAGAGCCAGTTTGGATTCCCAAGCTTTATTTATAATATATATGTAGCCATAGGGTATTCCATTCAGCAGTAACGAGCATTCTGCTTGTCTGATTGATTCTTGCCCAAAAATGAAAATAAAATCTTAGGAGCAAATGAAGCCATACTTTTCATGATGTATATGAATTAGAAAAACAGAATGATTTTAGTAAAAGTAACATTAAATAAATTTCTTTGCAAACAAAATGCATGGACCTTCGCTGAATTTTAATTAGATCACTTTGGCAGGTAACAATTGGTTTCCTGTTTGTTTTTAAACTAAAAAGCCTGAATTATTGTATTGCTGGCTTTGAGGCTAGTGTTAAATTGTGATTTCTTACTTTTAACTGTATTTTAATTATTCATTATATTAATGGGTGGAATGCCTTATGGCTACACATATATAACAAATAACACTTTTCTGTTAACAATTGACTTACTGCTATTGTAGACAAACTATTTTTTTCTTATGTATTATTTATTATCTGAAATAAGTTAAAATTTTGGGGTACTTTTTCAATCTTAGTTTTCAAAATGTTAGCATACAAAATTAGCAATAGCAATAGCAGTAGCAATTTAGACTTATACACAGGTCCATAGTGCTCAACTTCTTTTTTGTATCATGGTGACTATCAATTAAAATTAATTAGTGGCCACCATGTTATCAAATTAAGTAAATACAGAAAAGATAAAATATGTAGCTCTGGGATTTGTTTCAAGTGACCATAGAAATAAAGTAATTTGATGAGGCACAAATGGTACTTCCATGAAACTGTTGACCTTGTAACTTTTTTTTTTTTTGAATTGCTAAATAGCTGCTGCTTTCAGAAAGAGAGCTGAACCCATATTGGAAAGATGGTGGTACAGGCTTACCATCAGAAGTATCAGCATCAGTGAAAGGTAACGTCTTTTTCTATAACATTCTCTGTCTCGCAATTCTTCATTAATATGTTCATGTTAAAAGAAAATAAAATTAATATTAGTTGGTAATGACAATGTCATTAAAATTGTAGCTCATAACTTTGCAGAATATTTTAACTTGTTTCTTTTTCTTGTAATCTTAAGAGCTTGTCCTTCAGTTTCTATAGCAGAGCCCATCATGAACTAATTAAAAAAAGAAACCAGATTGTACTAAGACATGATGAATTGTTGTCATCTCATTTGGCCTGTTTCATTCCATTATACAAATTGCAGCTTTAAAATATTCAGGGGCTGAACTTTGGGAATCCTATTTTAAATGAAATACATCAAGGGTGCTATTGGGGCAGAATATTATTTATGTAATCGTTTTTCATGTCTCTCCTTGTGGAAGCTATTAAGCTATTTGGTCTCCTTGTGGAAAGAGCAAACACAAGGGTGTGTGTGCACGCATGTGTATGTGTCCCAAACTATAAAATTATGGAAATTCTCTGGTGTGCTAAATGGTAGAGATATTTGCTGAATGGCAAATAGTGATGCAGGATGGAATAGCACTTATTTAAAAAAAAGGCTAACTTCACAATGTTTGCAACTCAGGTTACTTAAATGTCAAAATGCTGAAAGAAAGGAATACTGAAATTGCACGTGTCAAGAGTTGAATTTTATCTGTTTCGATATGCTTCCAAATAAAAATTCATTATAACATGAAATGACCCTAAGATTTATTTTATTACAACTACCTTTCTTGCTGATTTTCCCCCATGCATTCCCATTATATGTTCCTAGTTATTCAAGTAAAAAAACAGAATATTTTCCCCCTGTGGTTATCCATTGAATATGCTATAAGAATGATTAATGAGAAACTACAGGATCCATTTCTTCCACTGTCTTTCTGTCACCTTCAGGAGAAGACTAATTTTTAAAGACTATTAGGTGGACCGTGGTTTTCAAATGCATGTTAGAACATGAACACAAATGGGAGAAATGTACCATTGTTAAGAATACTCCTGACTGGATTAATATATGTTGCATATGCAATTAGTACTAAGGTTGTTAAGGTAATTGTATTAAATTGCATTCTGCAAATATTATATTTACTATTATTATTCTATAGCAACAACAGTAGAAGATGGTGGATTAAGCTGGCTAAAGAAATCCTATCAGAGAATGAAGGATCAGTCTGAGAGAGAAAAACGAGACTTGGAAGAAATTGTAGCTGAAAGATATGGGGTAGGTAGAGAGAGGATGATAGTGAAAATATTTGTGCAGGATAAAAAATGAAGCTCCTCAGTGAAACTTCCATAAATCAACATCTTAAATAAAATATACACTAATAAAAATGGTCTTCATTTTTGGGGATGGTCACAGTGCTGCGTCACAAATACCAAAATCACAAAGAACAAGACCTTAAAAAAATGTACTTCATGCCTAATACAGGTAATCCTCGACTTACAACAGTTCATTTAGTGACAGTTCATTTAATGACTTATGATCATTTTTCACACTTATGACCATTGCAGCATCCCCATGGTCACATGATTGAAATTCAGATGCTTAGCAGTTGTTCCAGATTTATGACGGTTGCAATGTCCTGCGGTCATGTGATCGGCTTTTGAGACCTGACAAGCAAAGTCAGTGGGGAAGCCAAATTCACTTAACTACCGTCTTACTAATTTAACAACTGCAGTGATTCACTTAACAACTGTGGCAAGAAAAGTTGTAAAATGGGGCAAAACTCACTTAAATGTTTCACTTAGCAACACAAATTGACGCGGCTGTAACTCAAGGACCACCTGTACTCTTTCCCCTGGGGCTGTATCTTTCTGAAATACCTTGAAGAACTGGCTTTTCTCCCAATCACTGAGGCAGTGTAAGGTTAGATGTGCTTCTCTCCAAATATTTCTGCCTGTTTTTTTAAGATTTGGCACAATTGACGTGTTCCTGCAACTAAGATTGGATATTTAATTGGGTACCGTATATTCCGGCGTATAAGGCGACCCGGCGTATAAGACGACCCCCGACTTCGGCGCCGAGTCGCATGCCTAGAAAGTCATCTTATACCCCAGAAACTACCGTTATTTCTGGCGTATAAGACGACTCGGTGTATAAGACGACCCCCGACTTCGGCGTCGATTTTAACGCGAAAGTCATCTTATATGCCAGAAAGTACTGTAGTTGCTGGTATTTTCCATGACAAGGTGTTTAATGTTACTGTTGTTATGGTTTTACTCTTCAATTTTTAAACGATGCTTATTAATTTTGTTACCTAGAATTGCTTTAGTGATTGAGCCAGCTCTTAAATTGATTGATAAGTAAACCAATCCCTCTGCTCAGCTATGAGGCTCACAGGGCATATCTGCAAAGGACTAGTAATTTGACAAATAAAAAGAGTGCTTGAAATCCTGAGTTTCATAAGCTATTATCAGGTTTGTGAAACTCAGCGATTTCAAATGATGTTCATTTCAAAGTTAACATTACAGGTTTTTCTTTCATGTGTTTACCTTAATAGTATTTTCTTTATACAACAATATGTGCTTTTTCATCTGTCTTGTAGTCAGTGGAGCTATTTCAGTCCAAGTTAAGAGAAGCTGAGACAGCTGCAGTCCAAAAAGAAAGTGATACAAGGGACTGGCGAAAATGCAGATATATGGAAAGCAAACGTACTTCAAGAAATGGCAGAGAGAAGCAGGAGGAAAACAACCTAGAAAGGTTTTCACATAAAGAACAACTTAAAGAGGAGTATAATAAAGTATGTTCTGAGGAGCCGAAAAATTACAGAGGAAGTGAACGGATGGAAACCAAAAAATCAAGGCCAAGTAATAAAGAATCTGCAGTAGCAGACTGGACTTGTACAATCAGAAAAGATCCTCATCAATTAAATCATTATGAGAAACCTTTCTCAAGCTCTATGAAAGCTGTGTTTCTGAAACCAAGCAGTGAGGGTGATGAAGGAGGCAGACGGCCGAGAACGTCATCCCAATTATTGACTTCTAGTTTTATGAATTGTGGTTTCCGGAAACCTTTTGATGATGCTGATGTGACCCCAAGATGGCGCAAAGCACAACCTAAGGATGAAATTGGAAAAGCAATTCTAAATGAAAAATCATCTGAAATGAATAAGGCTGTTACCAGGAAGGAGGAAGAGCCAAAGGAGAAAGGGGAGCAGATCTCAGAAACTGCAGTGGAAGAAAAGGAGCTGGTGGAGAGTAAACCATCATGTTCTGGGTATTTAGATATCTTCTTGTTTTGAAATAGAAGATGGTTTTATAGTTGCACAATTGCTTTATTGTCTGTCTGTCTGTCTGTCTGTCTGTCTGTCTGTCGGTCTGTCTGTCTGTCTGTCTATCTATCTATCTATCTATCTATCTATCTATCTATCTATCTATCTATCTATCTATCTATCTATCTATCTATCTATCTATCTATCTATCCTATCTACCTACCTACCTACCTACCTACTCACCCATCCATCTCTGTCTGCCTGCCTGCCTGCTTACTTACCTACCTACCTTAAGATATGCTTGGAATTTTGCAAGCGTGCTATGGGCATTCTCATAAAATGGCAACCATGGACAACTTGAATGTTCAAAAAATGATTAACATTTTTTTTACTTAAAGTCAGGGAAAAAAAATTACTGCCCAGCATAATTTTAAGTTCTAAGAAAATTGGCTCGTTTCCTTACATCCTTATTAATGACTAATGCCTTGTTTTAATGATCATGGGTGTTTTGTTTAACAACTGCAGTGGAAATGAGGTTGTAAGTCCATTGCGAATCAGTGATGTCTCACGTAATGACTGCATCACTTAGCAATGGAGTTGCCACTCCTAATTGTGGTTGTTAAATGAGGACTACCTATAATAGGTTCTGAACTGGAAGTTTGTCTAGATACTTCATCCTACATATATATCCACTGTATATGATTTATAATGCTACAAGAATAAAGAACATCTGGGATAATTCCATAATAATTTATGGATGACTAAAGGCAAGGAAATAGTTTACACAGTTAAGGAAATATAAACTCTAGTTACTTTTTATGAGATATGTATCACGTAGTATGAGAGTATCTTTTAAAGAGAAGATGGCTTGATTTTCTTAGTAATATGTAAAATATTTTGTTTAGTAGGTTTTAAGTTTTAGATTTTATTATGGATTCATGCTAATCTTGCATGCTGCACTGTTTCTTATTAAAATATACAATATAGTAAGTAACGAATGACCACATTATGTAAGTAAAGAATAATTCCTGTCATTCAGATATCAAGCTACAACTTCTTCATCTGTGATTTGTTCACACAAGCTGGTAATGATGGCATTTGCATTCAACGATATCTAGAAAATAAAGCTTTCCTATATTTGCAATGGAATATAGTTTGTAGAATAAAGAAGATGGAGCTCTGCAACAATATGTAGTATGTTTGCGTATTTCCTGAGGCTATGGCAGAGATCATGTAAACTTTCAAAATTAGCATCAAAACTAGGAAAACTAACTCTAATTTGAGATTTCAAGTAATGTAGCAAATGTTCTTAACAAATTCTAAAGTTTTTTTTTACATACACTTAAAAGTGAATGTAGTCTGATGTAAAATACTCAGGGCCTAGCCTGAATTTTCTGAATGGACCTCCCTACAGGACTATCATAAGCCACTTTTCTCCAGCTAAGTTATCCAACTGAGACAGTGAATGGCATATTCTCTTTTTCTCCATGCATAATGCCCTGTGTTTATATTTGACCAGATCTGTTTTAGAGGACGAGACTCCTCTTATTCTCAGTGACGAAGAAATGAACAAGCTGGGGGCCAGGATTATAAAAGCAGAATTGATGGGAAACAAGGTTTGTGATTGATTTATTTAGATTTTTTAAAAGACAAATATAATACAGCACTTTAAGATTCATTGTCATATTTGTGTTGGAAGCATCAAGGTGCTTCTAGATGGAAAGGATTAGCCAATGACATCATTGTTACTTTGGAACACCCAGTTGAGGGCTCCTTTCATTAATGAGCCCATTGATGTGGTACCTATTCATTTACTTGCATTTACACACTTTCAAACTGCTAGGTGGGCAGGAGCTGGAGCGAATGATGGGAGCTCACCCCGTTACACAGCAGTGCTTGGGTCTCAAACATGGGCTTGTAAATTGTCGACTTAGCATCCTAGAGCCACTGTGCTCCACACTTTAAATCTAATTATTCAATATTATTATCATAGCTCCAAAATAATAAAAATAGATTTATGAAAATATTCTATTAATATCTTTAGAAGCTACTTTACACTTGATTTCATTATGTTTGATTTCCTGTTGACAAACATTGTTTAGTTGTAATCAAAGAGTTTTGGGTAGTTTTAATGAAGTGTCAGTTGACACAGCATCAACCTTTATTTTATAGGTAAAGCTTGAAAAATTATTCATAGAATATTTTGGCATAAAATGCATTATATGTTTTTAAAAAGTTACATTGTGCAATATTTGTTCTGCTTGAAGGATTTAGCTGCAAAACTTCAGTCTCGGCTTGATAAGGCACGCAAGCTAAAAGACAGTGGAGCACAAGCTGAAGCTAAAAAATCTGATGAGGTAAGGGATATGTATTATCTTGCATTCATTTTGGATTACTGCCATTGGAAACAAAAGATTTAATGACAGGTGTGCAGCACCTAAGGCTGTGACACTGTTAAATATAGTTCCTAGTATAGGCAGAGAATACCTACAAAACAATTAGAAATTGTAGTGTGTGGTAGCCTGTGATGGAAAGCTGTGAAAAGACATTGTTCAGAATCTCAGGTCCTTAGAATGATGGCTTATTTGGTAATTTTAAATAATATTTCCATAAAGTTGCTTATCTCTTATATTTCAGAGTATATATTGTTAGTTTGCCATAAACAAGTATAGAGTCTACATACAAGAATTTTCTCTGATTTTGGTATGTTGTAGTCTTGGGAATTAATTTTCTTTTAAAGGTGCATGGACTTTTTGTTTGCCTTAAGCCTTACTTCAAGATTTTGAGGCCATGTTTCTATCAACAATCTTGGTTAGTTTCTCAGTAGTTTTAAATAATTACTTACTTTTCTTGAGAAAATAGAGGGCAAGAACAGATTTGCAGTTCTCATGAGTAATTGTTGATATATGCAATGAGAATATGGAAGGAAAGTGGCTTCAAGGAGCTATAAAGGGGGTGATGTTTTATGTACTTGTTCATAAAAGAACTGGAATTAGGATAGCTAGCAAAACTATTGATAAAAATCAAATCATTTCAGAAGAAAACAAAAGGAAACGATGAAAATAAAACAAAAGGAAACAAAGGAAAGGCGAAGAATTTCAAAAGGAGCAAAAAAATTAAAAAATCCTGACTTTGATGAAAATAGAAATGTGATTCAATGCAAGAAGGCATCCAGTGATGCATTTTAGGACAAAAAAAAAAAAAATCTTTTTATTGATGGTGTTTATTGGTGGTGACTCCTAAAGAAAGATTTTTCTGGAAATAGCACTTTGCTTTGAGATGTGTCAACTTCCCAGCCCTATTTTTTTTTTTTTTTAAAAATAACAGTGGGTAAGGTTTATGGTGAAAACATATTTGTAACAAGGTGTGATTTCAAAGAGGTGGTGATGAGAAACTTGTTAAAAACATAGCATTTTGAATGTCTAAAGATTTATTCCAGCCATATTTCTTCTCTATGCAAGATGTTAGTACTTGTACTGACACTAGAGTTTTCTGGATGATTTGATGATGCAGCTGAATATCTGGCTGACTTCATATTTGTGTCTAAGTAGGACTGTGCCCATCTTAAAAGGATAATTATGTTATGAAATTTAGAATAGAATAAAACTGGAAGGGACCTTGGAGGTCTTCTAGTCCAAATTTACAATTTACATTGATACTATTGATGTATTCTTTCTATCAGAACAGGTATTATCAAAAGGCTTTGGATTTCTCTTGGCTCCAGTATAATCATGCCAGACAGTACTTAAATAATTATGTATGAGTTATAAAAGTAGAAATTAACTGAATGAAAGTTTTAAAAGGAAGGGTTTCTGAAAAAATGGAAATTAAATGTAAGAAAATCTTTGTATTTTCACATTTAAATGCATTCTATATACGTATTCTTAGTTGTTAAAAGCAGAAAGGGGCATATTTGGAAATAAATGTGTTTAGACTTATAAGAGTATCTTCACTTGAGATCTTAAGAAAATTAGTGAATGCATTCATTGTGCAAGTGACAATATTTTTTAAAGATTTTTGTAAGATTGTGGCTTGTATGAGAAATTCTGAAGAAAAGTATATTCTTTTGTCTTTTGTATTCTAATATATACAGAAGCATTTGATAATTATTTAGACTGTAAAGTTTTACTGCTTTAATTATCTTCAGAATGCTACTCATAAACAATTGTAAAAGCCAGTAATTGCAGGGAATGAGGTTAGATGACAGTTTCATAATAATTTCTGCTCATTTTCTCTTCTGTTTTTCAAGTCAAGTTAATGGTTCCTTTTTTTCAGTAAAAGCATCAGTGTATTAAGCCAAAAAGGAAAATGGTGCCATTAAATGTAATTAACTGAATTTTGGTAATATGGTAATGTGATTTGGGAACCTAAGTATGTATGGAAAAAATATCCTGGGTTGACCACCCTTAGTCCAAATTAAAAAAAAATAGTTTACCAATATGAATTACTAATTACTTTGAATCTGATTTTACTCATACCTTCATGATAGTAGTGAATGTTTGAAGTGAAAGTTTATTTAGTTAAAAAATTATATAACTGATTATCTTAAATACATAACTCTGGGCAGTAAATAATAAAAGTACATATTAAGCAATCAAGCACCTTTATGCTCTGATTAAGCACAGAAGCTGTAGTTAACATCAATGCTGCAATAAAAACTGTATACTTAAAAAGCAAAGGGCTGTGTGCTTCTGTGCCAATTTCCTGGCTTTTAAACTTGCTAAAATATCACCCTGGTGCATTTATCAGTTATATGCATACAATATTCCATACCAATTAGTTAAACTTCAGCTGTTCTACTTTTAGAAGCTTCAAATGCAGTAGATATAATATTAATTATTTTTTTCATTTAAGGCAAGGATGTCAAATTCAGTTTTATTGGGGGTCACATCAGCGTTGCGGTTGCCCTTGGGCCGGGTGGGTGTGGCCAGGGTGGGTCGGCCTACTGGGTGAGCGTGGCCAGCTCTACATCATTCGCGTCAAGGGTGCCTGTGGGGGCCTGGGCAGGAGTGGGACAGATCTAAAGGTCTCTTGCAGAAGGGGGTGGGACCAGGGCAAGTGCCAAGGCATGGTCCACTGGAGGAGCCTCACTGTTCCTCTCAGGCCATGCGGGGGGGGGGGGCTGGATGGTGCAGGCTGCAGAGGTCAAACGCCCAGCCTGGTCCTCAAGCACCCGCGGCACCAAGCCCAGCCCCACTTCCCCAAGGGGGTGCCCAGCTGCACTTACCTCCTCCTCAAGGCTGCTGCTGCTGTGCTTGCTCTCCTTAGCCAGGTTGCTCATGATGGGTACAAGGGCAAAGTCAGAGGAAGGCCCATTCCCTCTCCAAGGGAGGAGACCCGGCTTTGTATCCAAAGCTTCCTTAGCAATAGGATGGAAGACCCACAGGAAAGACCAGGAGGAGGGAGAAAGGGGATGCTGAAAGGGCAGCAGGACAGGACTAAGGCAGGACTTCCCTCAGATCCTCCCTCTCCTTCTTTCCTTCTTTCCTTCCTTCTGTCCTAAGTACAGAGTGGTGGGAAAATATTTGAGATGAGGGAGGGAGAAAAACAGGCAAGAAATGCAGCTGGGGAGGTGAGGAATGAAGAAATGCACCATCGCCTGGAAATGGCTAGCACATGGGCCTCACCTACTTCACATATCTGGCTTGGTGGGCTCTGGGGGAGGGGATGCCATGAGCAACGTGAGAGTCAATGTTAGCTGTGCAATGCTGCCCAGTCTGCCCGGTTTCGGCAGACAGCAGGGTGCTTTCCTCACAGTGCCAAGAGACTGAACTGGGTGGCGAAAATCCAAAAAGAAGTGCGATGCCGCCCAGCCCCAAGCCTGCCCGGTTTCGGCAGGCAGCAGGGTGCTTTCCTCACAGCACCAAGAGGCTGAACCAGGTGGCACAAATCCAAAAAGAAGCACGATGCCACCCAGCCCTCAGCCTGCCCAGTTTCAGCAGGCAGCAGGGCGCTCTCCTCACAGCACTGAGAGGTTGAGCTGGACGGTGTGAAGCTCACCAGATTTGCACCTTGCTGCCTGCTGAAACCGGGCAGGCTGGGAGCCGGGCGACCTCACATTTCTTTTTGGATTTGTGTCACCCGGCTCAGTCTCTTGGTGCTGTGAGGAGAGTGTCCCGCTGCCTGCTGAAACCCCTCCCCTGGAGCCCATCAAGCCAGATATGTGAAATAGGCGAGGGCCATTTGCTGGCCACTTCCAGGCAATGGTGCATTTCTTCATTGCTCACAAAAGCTGACACCTCTCCAGCATGTACCCAGGGGCAGAGGCTGGTTCCTCACTGTTTCCAGATGGCCTTGTGGAGCTAAGACTGAATGTGTTTCAAATCAATTTTGTGGTGGCCATAGATGGCCACCACAAAATTGTACATTGGCTCCTGGCCGGCCTGGGCCAGGGCCAAGGCAGAGGGGGGGTGTTCCCTCACTGTTTCCAGGATGGCTTCACAGGCCCCATGAAACCACTTCGCGGGCCGCATCCGGCCCCCGGGCCTTGTGTTTGACATGTTTGATTTAAGGCAACAATTACTGTCATTGAATGATCTTTTCATATTGGAAAAAAGTGATAGGAACTATTTGAAAGTTAAGCATATTTCAAGGTACTCCAAGTTGATTTAGGCAGCGCATATTAAATCTACGTCCCAAATTGAAAAGTGTAATCATAAGTGTAAGTAGAAACACCAGGCAAGAAAGAACAGCAAATTAGAAAGCCATCAAATTTAATGTGTTGCCAAATAATTTTTATTTGAGCTAAGATATAAGTATTTGAATTTTTATGAATTCCAGAATGTTTTTAGGATCACGTATGTGCCACGAATATAAGTAAACTATGATGCTATGGTTTATAGCACTTCAAAGAACAGTTTCAACAGTTCTTCACTTGAAAGATATGTTAGAAAGTTACATGAAACAGTAAAAGTCAGGGTAATTGGAAGTACAATGATCCAAAACCACCTAAAAAATGTAAGTTTGGGAATTAATTCTGGGTACCATAGATACCAGTGGAAAAGAGGAGAAGTTATTTCAGAAGAGTAAAACATAAAGGCCTTTTTCAAACAGCCAATTAAAAAAGATATTATAAGGATATATTATAAAGATATAGTAATGTGCAGTTATAGCAGAGGATGATTTTACCAGAAATGATAATGTATGACTGCATTAAATAAATGGAGCCAAAAACCTTAATACAAATATTATTATTTTAATATTGAAGGTAGAAATAAAGTACGGTTAATCTGTGCAAGTCATTTTTTCAGCATTTTCATTGACCAAGTTTTTAATTTAATCCTTTTAAATCTGATCTGGTTGGTACTCTATGAATAGATATCTCTTTGCATAGAAGTAATTGTTTCATTCAGATCAT